GGGGATGACCCAGGCACAGAAGTTTCCAGTGGGATGCAGGTGGCCTTTGAGCAAGACCTTGAAGGAAGGGGCAATGCTGATTAGTGGAGATCAGAGTGGAGGGGTTGGCGTGGGCAAAGGTACGGACGTGGGAAAGCGAAAAGCACGTGGAGGGGAGTGCTGGGCATAGGGCAGTGAACAAGATGGATTCGGTCCCCGCCCCACGGAGCTCATGGTCTCCCACTGGTTGAGCATTTCCTCTGTGCTGAGAGCCTTGCCTCAGCATCAAACCCTTTAGAAACAGGCAGGGGTACCCCCATGGTACAGTCAAAGAAGTAGAAGGTCTGGGGGATTAAGAAACTGCCCTGAGGTCAGTAAATGGACAGCCAGGACTGGAACCCAAGCCTGTCTGACTCGGGAGCCCTAGCCCAGCCCTGCCTTCCCTCGGAGGGTTTAACGCTGTGCCTGGAAAATCGTAAGTGTTCAATAAAGGGTCTAAATCATCATCGCATGTCCCCCAGGGCTGCAGGGTGTCTTGAGGCCAGCAGAATTCATCTTTCTCCCCTGAAACAAAGGCTCTGGCAAAGGAGAACTCCCCCCCCCCCACCCAAAGAATACATCGTCTCCAAGTAAGTCCCCAGATTGTGTTTAGCTCCTAGTTTGCCAAGCTCTCAGGGGGCCATGACGACAACCACAACATAAGCAAACAACTGCAGGGCGGTGGGCAGGGCTGCCCACATCATGCCCTGGAACCTCTCTTTCTGGGCCGTTACTGGGAAGTGCGAAAGGGCTGCCACGCGGTCCTCAGCGGGCACATTCCTGTCTGCCTTCCCCTAGATGGCTCGCGCCAGAACCAGTTGGGCGAGTACAGAGGAGGTCCAGGGCGTATGGGAGCCTCACCAAAGGGGCAAGCGTTGCTGGGAGGAGGCAAGTTAGTGTGTGGGTGGGGGCGGGGGGCAGGGGGCTCAGACCTCAGGAAGGTGAGGCAGGGGTGGCCAAAAACGGGAAGGTGGGAAGGGAGCTGGGGGCACCTCGCCGGAGTCCCAGTGGTGCCCTGGGGAGCACCTCCCCAGGGACAGTCTATGTTCCATCTTCTACCCGTGGGCAGTTTCGTTTCCTTTTTTAGGTAAAAAATGTGTGCGTGTGATATAATTCCCATAACACAAACTCACCGTTCCTAATGTATACAACTCAGTGATTTTTAATAGATTCACGAGGCTGTGCAATCATCACCACTATCTAACTACCAAACATTTTCATCATCCCCGCTCCACCCCTGACACAAAAACCCAGACAGACACAGAAACAAACAACCCTGTACCGTTAGCGGTCAGTCATTCCCATTTCCTGCTCCTTCGCTCCAGCCTCGGGGAACCGCTCATTTCCCTCCACATCTCTCTCCCCTGGGCATTGCCTATGAAGGAGATGATGCAGTGTGGTGTCTCCTGGGTCTGGCTTCTTTCTGTTGGCATAAGTTTGCAGGGTGCATCCATGTTGTGGCAGGTATCAGTGCCTCATTCCTCTTGGAGGCTGATTAATACCCTTTTGTATGGATACACTGCATTTTGTCTGTCCATTCATCATTTGCGGGACGCCTGGGTTGTTTCCCCTTTGTGGCTGTCATGCACAACGCTGAGATGAACATTTCTGTACAAGTTTTTTGCGGAAGCATAGGTTTTCGATTCTCTCGTGCACGTCCTTAAGAGTGGAATTGCTAGATCACACAGTCGTTCTGTGTTTATCCCTTTGAGGAACAGCCAGGCTGTTTTCCAAAGTGGCTACGCCCTTTTACGTTCCGACCAGCAAAGGGTGAGAGTTCTAGTTTCTTCACACCCTCCCCAACATTAATTTTGTTTCTTTTTAAAAATTATGGTGGCCATCCCAGTGGGTATCACGTGGTAGCTCACTGTGGTTTTGATTCGCATTTCTTTGCAGACTAGAGATGCCGAGAGCGCCTTTTCACATGCTTACTGCCACTCGTACTTCTGCTGCAGGGAAATGTGTGTTCACATTTTTAAAATGTCTTTACTCATTTTTATATTAGGTTCTCGGTCTTTGTATTGTTGACGTGTAAAATTTTTAATATATTCTGGATATAACTTGCAAATATTTTTTTTCCTCTCTGTGGGTTGTCTCTTCACTTTCTTTAGTGTCCTTTGATGGAAAAAATTCTAAGTTTTGATGAAGTCCTACTTATCTATCTCTTCTTCTGTTGCTTGTGCTTTGGGTACCACAGCTAGGAAGACATTGCCAAATCCAAGGTCATGAAGACCTTACCTCCATGTTTTCTTTTGAGAGTTTTATGGGTTCGGCTCTGGTATTGAGTTCTCCTTAGGGAGGCACACGACTTTGGAGTCAGACACCCCGAAATCCAACCCTGGCTGAGCAAACGGCTGTGTCTCTGAGCCTTTCCTTTCTCTCCTGTGTAACAGGGACAACTATATGTATGTCACAGAGCTGTTGTTGACGAAAGAAATGTACGAACCTGTAGAGAATTTTTATAATTTTATTTGCACTAAACCGACAACAATGGCTAGGAAGCAAAATCTCAACAGACAGAGAAAATGCCCCGGAGTGGGCAGTTCTGCAGCTCCTGTCGCACATTAGAACCGAGGAGGAGATGTGAGGAGGGTTACAGGAAATCCATCGGTGGTAGATTAATGGTGGGGGTAGAAAGCAAAGTGGGGGGATCGCCGGAATTGGATAAAAAGTAAAATGGAGAGATCCATACTTCTTTTCCGGCATAGTTGTGCATGATACAGAGCCATTGACACTTATGGCACACAGGGGTAGCATATGGGAACCAGAAAACAACGAGAGGCTCTGTGGTCTCTGCTCTGGGGAGGTAGGTGTCTCCTCGGGGTCTGGAAAAGGGGATTGCTCTGACATTCCAAAGGTGTGCTATTTTAGATGCAAACGGACAGTAGACAGGCTCACCTAAAGTAAACATCAATCTTTGTCAAGGAAGCTACAGGCCTAGGGTGTGACTATGTACTTGCTTTTAGTTAAGAATTTTTATGTTCGGACCATCTGAGGTGGTTACTTTTGGTCTCTGAGTTTGTAAGGCCCACCCTGCAGGCCTCCCCGGAGCCTGTCAGGGCTAGTACGGCGCCCCTCTTCTACCCACACTCACAGGAAGATTAAACGAGACGGCACAGGTGGGCAGCAGGCCTGCACAGGGGCTCAGCAAATGGCACCTGTTATTCTTTGCAGGGCTTTAGGGGGTGCCTTGGGAGTGCAGCCCGAATGGGCAGCTGGGCGTGAACAGGAGACAGACACGAGGTGGACGGTGACTCTGTTGTGAGGCGAGCCCTGTCCTGTTGCTCTGAGAGCTTGGAGCAGGAGCCCTAACCCTGCGAGGGGCTGCGTGGGGAAGGGGCCACGGGAAAGCTGCCCAGAGGATGGCTCCAGGGGCCTTGCGGGTGCACAGAAGAAGACTGGGGAGGGAGTCCTGGGCTGTGGGCGCGGCAGGAGCAAAGGTAAGGGGGCGGGAAGGAGCTTGGTGAGCTGGAGAGTGGGGGTCGTTAAGTGAAGCTGGAATGCGGGTGCTGTGGCCAGGTCACAGAGGGCCTTGTAAGTCCCCAGTGAGACTGACCTTTCCCAGAGGGAAACAGGAGGCCAGTGAAGGGCTCATGCAGGGAATGGTGTGAACGGAGTCTCATTTTGGGAAGGTTTTCCTGGCTGCCCTGTGGAGGCAGGAAGGATGGGAGAGTGTAGGAATGGGCACAGGGAGACCCCGAGGCTCCTTCCTCAGAATCAGGGTGGAGGCCCTGTTTGGCACAGTGGCCGTGGGGAGGAAGACAGGGTCCAGAGGTGTTTAGTAGCAAGCCAGCAAATGGCAGAACCAGGATCTGAACCAGGTCAGATCTTTCCCCCACACCAGATGGCCTCGAAAACAACCTGGGCCTGGTGAAGTTTGGCCTTTTGAGCCTCAACTCACCTGCAAAGCTACCTTTCATGAGCTAGATGCTGGGGGACCCTGTTTATACTTCACAGGGTGGACACATGGCTGGCCCAAGGGCGCTCCGTGGTGGCTGAAGATGGAGGTCACCTGAGGGCCCCTCGGCTCAGGCCTGGCACAGTGGCCTCCCCTGAAGTACCAGGTGGGAGCTGCCCACCCGCTGTGCTCATTAAGTTCTTACGCTGTCTGCATGGGGTGGGGGGGGGGTCCTGACTCACGTCTGGCCTCCTTGCCTATGTTGTATGGCGTGACAAGTTTCTTTTTTCTGTGAGTCGCACTCTCCTCACTTGTCAACAGGAGGATGCTTCCTGCTTCAGCTCGGGCCTGGCACACAGCAGGTGTGCAGTGTAGCCAGCACTGCTACATCTGATCAAGAGGCATAAATGTCCAGGAAACTTTCTACAGATTCCGGAGCCTCCTCTAACCCCAGCACCTAGCTCTGACCCACTCAGCGGCCCCTACACCAGTCCGGCCCTCCCTGGCAGGGCCCACTCGCTCCCTCGTTCCCTCGTCCCCTGAGAGGCAGGGTGGGAGTGCACTGCTGGAAGCACCCTGGGGTGCCAGCTCCAGCTCTGTCATTAGACACCGAGCCTTTGGCCAAGGCACTTCCCCTCATGAGCCTCAGTTTCTTGGCCTGAAAAATGGGGCTGCGACTCCTGTCTCTTCCAGGGCTGCATGGGAAGGGGCAATGCACACTGTGGAGTGCTGCGCCATGGTGTAGCTGTTGAAGACCCACTCTGGGCAGCTGTGCTTGGCCCACAGTGGTGTCCCCTCTGTTCCTCTCAGCCATTAGAAGGTGAGCTGAGCTAGAGTGGAGATTTGGGGGACAGGGAAACCTTTCCAACTGCTCTCAAACACCCATATAGTCTCCCCCTTATCTCCCTGCCTCTCCTGGAAGATTGGGGGTGCTTTCCAGGGAGGAGATGGCCAGGAAGCACAGGCCCTGCCTCCATTCCTCTGGGTAGGTGAGGCCAGGTATTTCCAAACACCATTTGAGCAAGAGTTTTGATCTGTGGCCTCTTGCCAAGGTTTTGTCATTCTTTCCTGACAAACAACAGACTCCGTTTCATAACCGGCATTGTTAACAACGAAGTGTACACAGTGATTCACAAATAGCAAACACCAGTCAGTGCTTACCACCATCACCTGAGAGCCCTCCTGGCTCTCCTCCAGCCTCAAACACCCCGCTCCTTGGTCTGGGAGGCTGAACCACACCTGGTCAGCCCCACTTACGCTTCAGCTCTCCCTTCAGGGGTCCCCCGCCTTGGGCAAAGCACATCTGACACCCCCAGCGGCATCCCTGGCTGGATGCTCGCCCCAGAATTTGTCCCCCCCAAGCACGCGTGGTGAAGACAGGCTCACTGGATAGTGGATCGCAGAGTCACCTCTGCCTCTCTCCACACGAGAAACCTTCCTGCTGGTGGCCTCCGGTCAGCCCAGCGCCTTGGCGTCCCCAGGGCCTGCCGTACCTGGTGTTGGACAGGCGCTCAATAAACGTTGATGAATAAATGAATGAACAGAGAAACGAACTTCGGGCAGGCCAGCCCCTCCCTTGTCTATATCTGGTCTACCGTCTTTTTTATTTTTTTAAGTGACAGTGCTAAGAGTCGAGGACGGGCTGCTGAAGACACGGCCCCTTGTGCAGCTCCCAAAGTGCCCCTGCCCCCTTGGCAGGTGGGAGCTTCTGTTCTCACCTCTGCAGGTGACTGCTGCTGTTCCTGCTTAACTCGAGTTGTGCTCTGCCAGGCCCGGGATTCAGAGTCACTGGAGCCCGCACCTGACTCCCTTGTTTTAGCTGTATCTGCGTGAATTCTCTGGGATTGGATTTTGGAAGGAAACCAGATGAGGCTGTGCTTGTGGTGGGTAATCGGCTGTGGGTGGTTAGAAGGGCAAGGGTCAGGGGTCAAGTCCATAAACCCCTTGTTTTTAAGCAGGAGGTTGTGAAGGTAGAAGTGAGGCATTATGGGCCTCTGTCATAGGAAAAGGTGGGCCCAGCAAAACCAGGCAAAGGGTCCCCCCAACCCCAGTGAGCGCGCCCTCCATAGCCTGCCAAGAGCAGTGGGAAATGGCTCTGAGATGCCCGAGGGAGGCCCTCAGGGTTTCCCAGACAGGGCTGCATCCGGGGTGGCTACGTAGAGGGTGACCCCGCAGTGCCACACGAGCGGTGGGAAAACCTCGCGTGCCTGGGACTCGGAGCAGCCCTGGAGCACGGGTGTCCTGGGACTTCTGCCTGACGGCCAGCCCCAGGCCATCTCCCTGATGCTGCCACAGCAGGTTCTTTTCTTGCCACACGACTCACCCATTCTGCTAGCCAAGCAGTGCCTCACAGCACTGGCTTCTGGCATTGTGTTTCATTTAGTTTGCTTTTTATAGCATCAGAACCTGTTCAGACCCGTGGGGAAAACCGTGAATGATGGTTTCCCTGCCACAGATGCAGGGCCTGGGGGTCCCAGGCCCTCACATAGCTCACCTGAAGAACCCCACCTTCCCAAGTCTCATCATTTTCTTGCTAAAAATAGGTCCTGGGAAATCTAGAAACTTCCTATAAACTGGAGAAAATGAAATCACAGACTCTAAGGGCAGGAAAGGGGCCAGAGCCTGGCCTTTTGGTCGCAAAGCACCTGGACAGTGGTACCTGCTGAGATTTCCAGTCCCTGGGGAGGACCTGAGCAGCCAGGGTGCTGATGACTTACATGGAGAGCCCCTTTCATAGAGACATTGGGCCACTCACTCCTGGGGACATCGCCTGCTGGATGGCACTCCTTTGCCCCATGGGACTGAAGGACAAACAAGCAGTTCATGGGCAGAGATCCAGAGCCCAGGGCCAAGTCATCCAGAGCCAGGTCTTCAGAAATGCTGGTGGCCACTGGCCAGGCCCAGCCGGAGAGCAGGGGGCAGGGAGGGGATGGGGCAGGGCACAGCAGCCTGGACTCCCAGACCCCGTTCGATGACATCTTTGCCAGCTGGAGTCCACCAGTAGAGCCACACCCAGTTCGATGGCTTCCTCTGTTCATTCCCCGGCAAGCTTGGCTCTGCTGGGTGTGGTCCACCCAGCAGCGCAGGTGGTGGTCCCAACTGGGCTGCGGGCACCAGATGGGCCAGCTTTAGAGAAATAGAAGCCATCACTGGCCAGCTGCTGGGTTGCATAGTGGGGTCAGAGGTTGGCAGCTGACCTTCAGCTGTCCACTTGGGAGACACAAGAGTGGAGGAAAAGCTGAATGCTTCTCCAAGAAGCAAGTCAGAGCCTGAGATGGGTGCCCTGTGATGGCAGCACGCTCCACCTCATTCCAGCACAGTCCAGCTTCCTCTGGCTCTGCTTCAGTGTCGCCCCCGCTCTGAGGCAGGAAGAAGCCAAGCCAAATGTCAGCTGGATCACAGCAGGTCGGGAGGGGAAGGGGGTCACTGGGAATGCCCTGGAGACTCAGGCTTCACCCACTCAGCTCTGTGTAAAGCTGAGCATGGCCTTTTCTCCTGGTGGTTACACCTGCTGGGTCTTGCTCTCCATTTCTGATTTTCCCTCCAAAGGCAGAACAACCCTGGAGGGTCCTTAATGCTCTTCCAGAAGTGACACCCTCAGCCCTGTCCTATCCCTCCACCCAGCTGCCTCTAGCTGGCCCTGCCCCTCCCCACTGAGCTGCTTTGTGCAAAGAATTCTGCCTCCCTGCTCTTAGGGCCTGAGGCTGTGCTCCCTGCAGGGCCCAGGACTTAGGCCCCCAAGCCTGGATGCCAGGTAGTGGCTGAGCCCTGGGACAGGTGGACCTTGTCAGGCGGACTCAGGGCTGCTTCTGCGAGCACGATCCTTCCTCAGTGGATGCTGTTTCATCCTCGGGGTTCTCATTCTCAGTCTTTCCAAGCAGGGGATAAGATGCTCATCAGAGTCCTCAGGGTGGCCTACGCACTGGGTGTCCCCTTCCTGCTTGGCTGCTGTGCCAGGTGGTCCCATGAGGAGTTGAGATGGCCACGTAGGGTGAGTACTCTCTGCGCTCACCTCCAGTACCACCCTGCCTGCGAGGACAGCAGACAGGGAGTAGGGGGCAAAAGGGGTTGGAGGGCACAGGCACAGGCACAGAGGCACAGCCAGGGTCTTTCTTCATTGTGCTGGGGACGGTCCTGTCTCCTCAAGACCCTGAATCTTCTCCTGGGAGGCCTTGTCAGGGAGCAGCACCTCCACAGTGTAGCTGACCTTCTTGGAGTGCATCAGGCTGTAGGTGTTGTCAAAGCGCAGGACATCTGCAAGGACAGAGAAGTAATCTGGCAATTCAAGCCCAACCCATCTGAGAACCTGGTGCCCTTGGGAACCAGCTGCCCAGGACTGTGAGTGGGGCTGGAAGGTCAGCTGCTGCTCAGCTCCCAGCCCATTGCTCATGGCCATCTCTTTGCATGTCGCTTGTGCTCAGTAAAGAATTAATAACAGCCACCAGCATGCATCAGCCCTTCCTAGGTGCCAGGCATTACAGCAATACTCACAGCTCCCTGAGGCCTCAAAGCAGCCCCATGGAAGGTACCATCATTTGCATTGTATGAATGAGGAAACTAAGGCTTAGAGAGGTTGATGTGACTTTCTGACGATTACAGAGCGAGGGAGGGGAGGGACCGAGGTTCCCATATCCCAGTGCTCCAACCCAGAGAGGAGCCCTGCTTTCCCCAGAAGAGAGACTGAGCTCCATGAGGCGCTTTTTCATCATGCCTTTCACGGAGGGCATGTCCTTCAATGCCAAAGGCCCACGTGGACGCTGGGTCGTGGTGATTCATCCAGCATCTGTTTCCACTCTCCTAATTCTCCCTTTCCACAAAGATAAACCAGGTACATATTAACTAAAGCATTAGCAAAAAAACCATTCTCCTTCTCCAGAGGAGATCAAGCTTGGGTCCCCCTTCTAGCTCCGCTCTTGACAGGGGTGGTAGGTCTGTGGTGCTGCTGGGCAGCACTGCTGCTGATAAAACTGACTGAACTGTGGCTGGCCTGGGCAGCTTGTGAAGGAAAGGTAAATCATCTGTTCAGGGTGCCCAGCGTGGGGTGGCCCACGTGCCTGGGCAGTTTGGGACCCCTGACGCTAATCTCATGCTGTTTACTTACCCGTCTCTTAGCCTGCCCCACTCAGTGGGGAGGCTTCCCAGGAGCTGAGCCCACGGCCCCAGGCTATGCATCCCACTCTCTACAACGAGTCTGCCTTGTACCCACACCTATGGCTACTCATCAGATCCAACACCCTGAGCCAACTCCCCTGGCACCTCTAGCGTCTAGGAGCTTGCACAGACCCCCACACCCTCCGTGAGGGCTACAGATAGAAGGCAAAGGGGAAAGCCAGGCTGGCAACACACATCCGCTCATCTCTTTGCTAGGAGGGAAAAACGGCTCTAGTGAGCCCCGCAGCTCTTACAGACGCCAGCGTTGAGGCAGGTGAGGCTGCCGTCCTCGGGCACCAGGTGGGCGTTGTAGCGCTGGCTGGGCACCACCTCTGTCATCTCCCCGACTCGCTGCTTCTCTCCTTTCTTGGTCTTCAGGAAAACTCCGAAACCGATGTCCGCCCCATCTGATGCAAACTGCCACCTGCAGGAGACAGGGCCCCACTGATGACCACCTGCCTGGGCTCCAGGTTCCTCCCAGCTGTACTCAGGTGAGTGGCCTCCGTCCCTACCTGAGCACACAGCCCGGGAACAGGATCTCATTTTCCACCTGCAGGGAGGAGCCACGGCCAACGGTCGCTGTGTGATCGTACTGCACCCTCACCTGGTTGTGCAAGTAGTAACTCTTGGGCACCTCGCCTCCGTATTTGATCTGTGGGTAAGGGTGGGTGAGTGAAACCACCAGGTACACCCCCACCCCACTCTCTGGGCACCCTGTACCTTGGTCAGGCACTTGGGGTTGCCATCAGGGTCAGTCATGGTCCCCCCAAACTCCACGGGCAACTGGTCGGGGCTGATGAACTTCAGAAGCTCCTGCTTCCAGTTGCCTGTGGGAGCGAGAGAGAGGCCCCGTGGGGGCGCAGGCTTGACAGAAGGCAGAGGGGGCCAAGCCTTGGGAAGGGGCCTGATGTGTCCTTAGCTTGCTCTCCTGGGTGCCCACTCATGAGATCACCCAAGAGCTATACACGGCCACCTAGGTTGGGGTCTAGGGCTCCAAAGCCTTGTCTGAGTGTGCAAAGGCTGCTGGGAGTCAGGCCAAGATCAATGCCTGGGTAAAGAGGAAGAGCCAGGGAGAAATGGGGCCTTTAGCCCTGACCTCTGCTTCCGAGGCAGACGGGCGCAACCAGGAGGCCACATCACTCACCTCCCAGGATCACTATCTTCTTTCGAGTCTCCTCACTTATGAACGGCTTGACCAAGTTGAAGGCCACAGGGAACAGCTTAGGGGCTGAAACACATGAAACTCCCTTGGGAAGCTGGACCAGAGAGGACTTGGATACATAAAGTCACGCTCGAGGGCATGGGCTAGACAGGAAGTAGCCAGATGGAGATTCTCACTCTTCCTGCTCTGTGACCCTCAGCTGGTTACGCACCCTCTTTAAGTCTCAGAGCTATTAACGACAACTACAAGGTGGAGGCTGAATCTAACAGTGTAGGCCTCGCACTTGGCACAGTGCCAGGCTTTGATAAACAGTTGCCTTCCCTCTTGAGCTGGAGGGCTCCAGCAGCGTTGACTCCCCAGTGGTGCCTCTTCCTTTCCACTCTCAGGGTTTTCCCAGGTTGCCTTGGAATCCTCTTGGGCGCCAGTAGATGGGGCACCTGCCTTGGAACGCATGTCCCACCTGAATCACTCCAACTCGCTGGGCCATTTCTGTGTGCCAGGCTCTGTACTATGCCTTCTCCACACACTGTCTCCTTGAACTTCACAACTATCCTAACGGGAAGGCGCCACTGCATCCCTATTTTACAGAATGGGAAAACTGAGGCTCAGTGAGGTGCAATAGACTTGCTCAAAGTCACAGAGCTAGCTAAGCAGGAAGCCAGATCATCCGGCCCAGAGTGCATGTGGTGACCCCCTCACTGTGTTGCTGTCATGGACAATGACCATTCCCGCCCACAGTGAGTCCACCAACCTGTGCGGTCCGTGGAGCACATGATACTCATCCACACCCAGATAAGTAAAGAAAATAACAGCACACACTTAGAAACTTATAACTTATTTGACATTGCTGCACAGGCATTTGTATATTCCAAAAGTATCAGTCTGCGAAGGGCTGAGCTAAAACACACACACACACACACACACACACACACACACACACACACACACAAACCAACCAACACAAAAACCCATTCTTCACAGAGGATGGGTTGAGAAACCCTGAATTCAGAGGCTTACCCACTGCCCATCCCCCACTTCCTACTCCTCCCTTGCCGCCCAGTGAATCCTCACCTCGAACAATAATTAAATTCTTCACTATCTCAGGATAATTTGCGTCCAGCATGAGAAAAAACTGTAGAGTCAAAAAGAGTCAGGGTTAGGCCATACTCCAATATCCCTGCCTGGCTTTGGCGGCCTCTGAGGCTGCTGAGACAAGAGACCCCACCCCCTACTCCCTGGCCCACCCCATCTGCCCACAAGCATGTACTCTGTTCTCTTTCTCCTTGCAGGGGGTAACCAGGGTGAGCTTCACTGGCTGCTCTGTGGGACCCCTGGGTGGGGGTGCATTCCCCTCCTCCATGGTCTGAAGCTCATGTGGGCAGTGGCTCCCTAGAGGCCTTGAGCCAGCTGCTTACCTTACCTGCTGGTAGACCTCCACAGCTGGCTTCCACAGGTGTTTCAGGCCCAGCCCCTGCATGTCAGCCACCATGATCATTGTCTCTATCTTCCTGCCCAGCTGTGTGGGACAGAGCAGGTATACAGGTCAGACAACAGCTCCAGCTGGGAGATACTGGCCAGAGAGAACTGGCCGCAGCTCCTACCTTCCTGCCATCCCCATCCCCGGCTGCCCACAGTGTTTTCCAAACAGGGACACTTATCCAGGGTCTGCATTTAAGCCCTGGCACAGTGGCCCTTATCATACAATTTGTTCAAAACTATTGCCTGAAATTGGCTAACCCTGGAATTAAAATCATCGTTCCTCATGCATTGGGCTCTTTGGATACAGCAGTATGCTATGCCGGACACCGTCTGCAGGCTCACAGCTGTGTCCATGCCTGAGCTGCACTGTCAGCAGGCTGTGTGGCCTTGGGTGCGTTCTTAACCCCTCTGAACCTTACTTTTCTTTTTCTCTGTAAAATGGGGATAATCCCAGGCTCTGTTAAATTCGCTGTGAATCCATGAGCCTAGTGCCTGGCACATGGCTGGCCCTAATGAATATTAACAGCTCTTGTTAGTAGTATCATCATCAGCATAATTATCGGCACCAATGGAGACGTCCCTGCCACGGAAGACACTGTTTTGAACCTTTGGCATCAGCCATCTCGTTTGACAGGCACAAACCTACTCAAACCAGGCACTAAAAACAGTGCTTTGCAATTCTCCCCTGCTTGCCACAGATCTCTCCCGTGTCTGGTGCTGAGCCAGAGGCTGCCGGCCAAGGCCCTGTCCCGGCCACTTGGAGTCAGCCACTCGCCCAATCATCCCACAGTCACAGAGCTCCCTCTGGGGGTCAGTCTTCTTCTTAGGCTCGTTAGACACTTAGATTCAGAAAACCGAGCCCTGGCTGACATAGCTGAGCCCTGGCTGGCGTAGCTCAGTGGATTGAGCACGGGCTGGGAACCAAAGTGTCCCAGGTTTGATTCCCAGCCAGGGTACATTCCTGGGTTGCAGGCCATAACCCCCAGCAACCGCACATTGATGTTTCTCTCTCTCTCTCTCTCCCTTCCCTCCCTAAAAATAAAATAAAATAAATAAATAAAATCTTAAAAAAAAGAAAGAAAACCAACAAGGTGTCAGATTCACTCTGAAGGTCACAGGCCAGGGAACTCAGAGTCAGGGGCAAGAAGACCTGCAAAGGTGGGGGTGAGTCCTTCTTGGCTTAGAAGCCCCCGTGTCTCATAGGACTTCATACATATTTTTAAAGATTTTACTTATTTATTTATTTTTAGAGAGAGGAGAAAGGAATGGGAAAGATTGATGTGTGAGAGAAGCATCGGTTGCCTCTCATATGCCCCCAACTGGGGACCTGGCCTGCAACCCAGATATCTGTCCTGGCTGGGAGTCCAACCAGCAACCTTTTGGATCTCAGGCCAGGGCTCAGCCCACTGAGCCACACCAGCCAGGGCAAGGACTCCATATTTTTTTAAAGCAACTCCATAGTAGTTTCTAGGGACACACAAGGGGATGGGTCCAGTTTCCGGGGTCACTGCTCTCTAGGACATCCAGAGTAATGGCTCCCCCATCAGGTAATTACAGTCATGCAATTTACAATCACAGGATGTCTTTTCCGCAAGCAAAGTTGACCACCCATTGTTCCCAGAGTTCCTGGGGAACAAAAGGAGAGCATTCATTGCACCCAAGGTCAGTATCTCACTTAAGGTCAAGGGAGAGGGGAAAGGACTTTGGCGACCCTTGGCTCTCGCTAGCAGAGAGGGCCACACTCATGTTGGACGCTCGTAGGTGGGAGACTGCAGGAGAAGCCACGTTTCACCAGAGCCTGGAGTGCTGAGGGCTGGGGGGAAGCTGGGGCAGGGTGCCTCCCCTTCCCGGTCCTGCTGCCACCTTTTAGACACACTAGGCCTAGCATGAGCCTGTCCCCCAACCCCATCCCTTTAACACTCCCCGCCCCTGACCCTGGTCACTCACCTTTTGACTCTGCAGCTCACACTCACGCAAAAGCATCTCACAGACCTTGATACGTCTCCGGATCAGCTCCTGCTTGGAGGCTGACAGGAGGAGGCCCTTCGGGTCAAGGTTCCCAATGACTTCGAACAACACAGGGCAGCCATCATAGTCGTAGCCACACAGACTGCCCGAGTCGTACAGCTGGATCACCTGGGGTGAGGTCCTGACTCAAACCAGCCCACCAAGCCATGTCCCTGCTCCATCAGGTAGCAGGACATGGTGGTGGGGAGTGAGGTGGGGGCTACCAGATGGCCTGGGGGATGCTCTGTGAGGCTTACCTCTGAGGGCTGCCACGTGAGGATGTTGTCCAGGTCCTGTTGCTTCCGGAACTCCAGGTGCTGTGGAGACAGGGCAGGACCTGAAGACTGCCTGTCCCAAAGGTCCCCCCGCCCATGGCCACCAGATCCTGCCAAAGCATCCCCAGCCTCTACCGACATTGAACTGGGCATGGGGACACAAGGAGGAGGACTGTGGGGGGCCTGGTTCCGATGCAGAGAAAGGATCCAAGGAGGAGAAGAAACATGACAATGGGACAGGGCAAGGGTCCCCACCCTGTGTCACTAATCCCTGGGGCACAGCGTGCGCGAGGCATGAGAATGGGGCCTCACCTTCCGGAGCATGTCCTCAGACTTCTTCAGGTCAAACTTCTGAGCTGCAAGGAGAGTCGAGGTGAGAGGAGGCTTGAGGCCAGATCTAGAGCAAGCTATGCTCTGAAAAATCATGAGGAAATTGTGGGGTGCCCCCTGATTTTCCTGACACCCCAAGGGTACAATGGGGGAAGGAAAAGTTGGTTAAAATGCAAGCATATTTAATTCTCTAGAAGATTTTGAAGGGCCCTTGATTTCGGTTTGCAGGCCTTTTTAAACTCTTCTAAAGGCTGACCTAGCCTGTGGTATTGGCCATGCCCCTGGGAGCAGAAGGCCCCTTGGTGTTAGGGGCGGTGCAGAGCATGGGCTCTGGAGTCAGGCCAGCTTGGGCTCCAGGTCTTGTTTTGTCCTTTGATTTGCTGTGCAACCCTGAGCAAGTCACTTAACTTCTCTGAGCCTTAGCTTTTAAATCCGTTAAATGGGAATAGTATCTTTTTCAGAGTTATTCAAAGAATGGCATGAGACAACGTGCTTAGCACGTTACCTCGTCTGCAGGTAGTGCTCAATACCTGACAGATAGTGTTGTGATTACTTATTTTAAAGAACTAAATGAACTTCGACTGAAACATAATGCTTGCTCTATTTTAGAAACGCAATGACTGTTGCTCTCTGAGACTGCTGGTTCCCTGAGCAATTTGTCCTGTGATGGGCCGTCGATGAGACCCAGGGGCAGGGATTTTCAAACGGAAGCGGCTTGAGGTGCCACCAGGCTCCTTCCTCCGCTCTCATCATGAACCTCCAGGAAAGAACCACTGAGGCCACCGGTTCTGTCTCTTTTTTTAATTCTCACCCAAGGATATTTTAAAAAATATTTTATTTTTATTTTTAGAGAGAGGGGAAGGGAAGGAGAAAGAGAGGGAAAGAAACATCAATGTGTGGTTGCCTCTGGTACACTCCCCACTGGGAACTGGCCCACAACCCAGGCATGTGCCCTGACTGGGAATTGAACCGGTGACCCTTTGGTTCCCAGCCCATGCTCAATCCACTGAGCTACACCAGCCAGACCCAAGGACATTTTTTAAAAATTGATTTCAGAGAGAGAGGAAGGGAGAGAGACAGAAACATTGATAGGTTGCCTTCTGTATTTGCCCTGACCAGGGATTGAACCCACAGCTTAGGAATGTGCCCTGATCAGGAATCCAACCTGCAGTTTTTCTGGTGCACAGGATCATGCCCCAACCAACTGAGATACCCAGCCAGGGCCATCAACTCTGCCTTGATTATCAAAGGCAATCCATTCCATGGGGTATACTGAGTCGAAATGAATTTCTCCCTAAGCTCTGGGGTGGTTTCTGTTATTATAATCATTTTACACTGTTCAGCAATTCCTAGAAGAAACTCCTCCATCCTTAATTACATCCACTTCCTGAAGCTTTTGCTGGGCACCTGCTTGGTGCCAGGTTCTCTAAGGGGACCGCATGGCCTTGTCTTCGAGGAACTGGAGATAGACACAAAGGCAGGTCCTGAACACTGTGTTCAGCGATACCTGACTCAGAACTGCCATCCTGAGAACTTCCCAGGTGTTAACCAACCTGGACCTTGTGCTAAGCACTACGCCTCTCACTTTAACACTCACGACAGCCAATGCCGTGGGGAGGTGCCATGCCGATGTGAAGGGGAGCTCAGATTCTAGCCCAAAGTGGGCTGATTCCGGAGCCCACACTCTTTACCACTCTGTGGCCCTGCCCCCCAAAGTCTCCCACACCCTTTCCTGAGACCCTCCGATCCCACCAGCCTCACCTCGCAGCCAGCGCAGGAGGAAGTAATCATCAGCCTTGGGCAAGGTGGGCAGCAGGTCCTGGAGGCTGTCCCGGAACTGAGGGGGCAATATGGTTTTAGAGGGGCTCCCATGACCCCCAGGGCCCCCAATCTCGTCCCTGGATCTCTCCACCCTCAGTCAGCAGTCAGCCCTGCTCAGGGATCCTGCAGAGTTGGGGACTGCACAGTCAGCAGCAGCTACCTGGACCACTTTGCCACCTGTGGATGGGGCACACCTACCCCTTCAGCTCACCATGGCGGGAAGAGTTGTGTTCTTCTCAAACTTTGGGGGATCTCCGCTCCCCAAAACCCTCATTCTGTAAGTCTGAGGTGGGGGCTCTGCCATTGCCTTTTTTGCAAACATCCCTGGTGAATTTGGTACAAGCCAACCAGAACATTTTAGGAACACTGCCCCTGGTACTGCATCTTGAGGGCTCAGATTTCAAAGCAAGTTACTTAACCTCTCTGAGCCTCAGTTTCCTCATCTGTGAAGTGGGGATAATGATAATCTTGTGCCAATCAAAGGAGTTTGTACAGGCAAAGCACAGCACCAGGCCCAGTTTACAGCAGGTGCCACATAAATGTGGGCACACAGCAAACACGGACTGCCCGCAGTGCTGGACCGTGGAGTCCGTGGAAACAACCCCGGGCAAAGGTCAGGGCTGAAAGAGAAGCCAGCGCTGCCCCATCAGGGCTGGGGGAAAAGAGGGCGGCTGACCAGTGGGGGTTGCCTTTGCTTTCCGGGGGAGTTTGTGGAAGCGTCTGGGAGTTTGGTTTGGAAATGAGGCTCGAGTGTGAGATAAGAAAAGAGACCCCAGTTCCACGGGGATGAAGGGAGCTGAAGACAAGGCCTGGAGGGCTGGGTGCGCAGGGGAACCCGTGACTGAGAACTTGGGATCGGAGACAGATGCCAGCAGAGCCCTAGGAAGCTGTCTTGATGACCATCCACCAAACCATCGTTAGCTCTATGGATGACGTCTAAAATAAGAATGCATTCCTATATGGATCCCGTAATTAAAAATGAGTAATCATCTTAAACATCGCCATTGTTAACGACGTGAGCAGCAGCATCTGCTATAATGATGACCAATTGGAGATCATCATCATCATCATCATCATCATCATAATCTAATAATCACCAGGCACCTGAACTGGAGCTTCCCACACATTGAACAGCTGTAGACTCTGGGCTCCGAGGAAGCTTCTATGCGGAGGTGGGGGCAATACTACCGGAGAAACAATAACCCCACACCCCTCAGCTCCCCCAGATGACCAGATTCCCTCCCTTGAACCTTAGGATGTGCCCTGAGGCAGGTGGAGCAAAGGTCACAACCCCGCTTGGTAGGTGAGGAAACTGAGGCTGGGGGAAAGAGGGGGAGGGGGTCCTCCCCAGCAACAGAGTAAGGAAGCTGCAAGGTCAGCAGGAGTCCGAATCTTCCAATCTCAAGGCCGCTCCACTTTGGAAACTCATGTCGAGGAAAAGAGAAAACCACTCAGCAGGTGCTGGGAAGGGACTGGAGCATCGAGGAGGAAAAACTGGTGGTGCCTTGTGGGAAAGTGGCAGCAGCCTCTGGCAGTGGGGCCGCCCGTGGTGGGAACTAGGTTTAGGCAAAAGGTAGAAGGAAACATTCGGAGCATAGTTGTCCAGAACGCTGTGACCATGGGTGGCGGCTTCTCCCCCTTCTTTCTACCTTTCTCTTTTTCCCTAGTATTAAAAATAGAATCTGTGTCTTTTAAATAGTGGTAAAATAAGAATAAACTCTTTTTACATTGTTTAAAGCTCTTTGGTCCACAGACATCTCCATCGTAATTCTCCCCCTAAAACCAGGTGTCCAGTCCCTCCTAGAAGCCTGGGCTGCAGGCTTCTCTGAGGTCATTGCCAATGGGGGAGGGAAAGGGTTCACCAGGGGGCCCCCTTTCTTCCACTTGAGGACTCTTCCTTCGTTCATCTGGGACCCTCTGCTGCTGGAACCTCCTTCTTTACTTGTGAATTCACCCAGGGGACCCCTCATTCACCGGGGACCCCTCTCTCCTTCACTAGGAATTCACTCAGGGTCCCCCCCCTTCAGGGGGGATCCTCATCCTCTCTGGAGGACCCTCGCATCCTCCCGAGGGTAGGAGCCTCAGCAGACATCACTCTGCACATGTCTGAAGCTGTTCTTTCAGAGGCCCAAGGTACAAGCCGGGCTGTGCCCACCCCTCCCCCAACTTGGAGTCACAGTTTGCAGCGCCTGGCCATCTGCAAACCACATTAATGCTGTGGCACCTAGGCTTGGATATGCTCCCCCTTCCCGGTGGCCATGACACTCCCAGGTGTGGCCTGCTGGACGGACTTGAAATCCCCCAAGTCTCCTCCATTCCCCTTTCATGAAAACACTGACAACAGCAACAGAGCTTAGGCCCTCGGGAGGCAGAAAGCCACAAAGGAAACCAAACAAATGTTGCAATCTGGGCGGGATCTGGGAGTCTGCCCAAGGCTGCCTAGGAGTGGGATGGCAGCACCCCCGCCTCACCCCGCCCCATTGCCCCCTAACCAGGGATCAAGAGCCAGGACTCTGTGGCCTCGGGTGGGCAGGAGTGGAAAGCTGGATTGGGAACCACTGTCGCCGAGAGGAGGGCTCCTGTCCCATGTCCTGTACACAGCTGCCTGGGCAACTGGGAACAGAACGTCTGGTCAGAGGCGCTCTCCAGGGTTCCCATTCCCCTCCGTACAATAGGGGTCTCAGCCTGGGTGGGCAGCGTCAGGCTGCTCGGTCCCTCCCCAAGCCTCGCGGCCCTCGGCCATCGAAGACCCTCACCGTAGCCAGTGCCTCCTGCTGCTGGGGGCTCAGGTCCCCGACTCGGCCGCTCATGATGCTTGTGGAAGGCAGGGTTTGCCGCTCATGGGGCTCCTGGGCGCCCGGTTTTGCCCGGGTGGTCAGATGTGAGTCCCGCCCCGACGGGACAGCCCCGCCCCTACGGGAGAGCCGCGCCCCTCTGGGTCTCGGCCCGCCTAGTCTTGCCACTAGTTTCTCCTCCCGTCTGGGATTTTTGCCACCGGCAGCCATGGATTCGCACTCTATCGGGGCAAGGGGGTGACTCACCCCCAGAGGGGTCCCAGAGCAGACTTCAATCGAGGAGAGCGCGCATCCCCCACTCCCTCCAGGTGTCCTCATCCCAGGAGCCCCGCATGGCCGCAAGGCGAAGGCATAAAGTACGCTCGGGCATGTTTCAGGGAACACCAAGACCCCCTTCCAGCAAAATGGAGAAACTTTCTATAAACGTGGTTCAACCTTCTAGTTGGCCCCTGGGCCTTCCTTCCCAAGGGGCTTCCCTGCCAGCGTTCACTAGCTGATAGGAGAGCCCTTGGGTGCAAAAGGGTTCCACCTTTAAGGATGGTCTGGAGGGGTAGATAAAATGATGGGCCCTGGGTTTGCCCCTCATGCACGCCCAGCAAGTGCTGGCTGGTAAAAATACTGTCTCTCACTGCTGCTGAGGGTGTGAGGGGGAAGCCAGATGCAGCGGCGGATGTCTGGGGTTGGCCCCCGTGCGACCTCCTGGTTGGGAGCCGCAGCCTAAAGGCAGGAAGTGGGAGGTGGCAACGGACAGATGGAAGCCCAGGTGGGGTGATGCAGAGGGTGGGAGGCCAAAGGTGGGGAGGCTGCTGACATGGGTGTCTGGGTCGGTATCTGAGAGCCGGGCGAATGCCACTGGGGAAGGTGAGGAAACTCAAATCGGCTGGGCAGAAATTTCCAGAGAGAGGAGCCAGTGGGAGGCGAAGGTAAAGGGGACAGGAAATCAGGCTACCAGAACCTTTGCCCTCTACCCTCCACTGGGGTCAAACCAAGTTTTAGGCCTTTGTTGACTCATCTGGTGGCCACGAGACATGTGTGGCGGCTGAACTTTGGCCATGTGGCTTGTCACTAGTGAAAACAGAGGTGGACTGTAAGTGTAAAATACACACCAAATTTCAAAGACCTAATAGTATAGGTATAGTATAGGAATAGTATATATAGTATATATAGTATAGGAATAGTATAAAAAAAAGTTAAATGCGGGCTGCGAACCAAAGTGTCGCAGGTTTGATTCCCAGTCAGGGCACATGCCTGGGTTGCAGGCCATGACCCCCAGCAACGACACATTGATGTTTCTCTCTCTCTTTCTCCCCCCCTTACCTCTCAAAAAATAAATAAATAAATCTTTTAAAAAAGTTAAATATCTCCTTAATTTCTTATAATGATTACATGTGAAGTGATAATATTTTGGGGTGTATTGGGTTAATACGATTAATTTCACCTGTTTCTTTTACCTTTTGTAATTCAGAATTTGATAAACGAACAAACTTTATTTTTTAGGGCAGTTTTAGATTCACAACAAACTTGAGCAGAAAGCACCAGAGAACTCTCACAGACTCCCTGTCCCCACCCCCACAGAGCCTGCCCCATGAGGGACAGCCCCCGCCACAGTGCTGCCGTTTGTTGGAACTGATGGACCTACATTGTTATCCCCCAAAGCGCACACTTTGCATTAGGGACTCACTCCTGGTGTTGTACATTCTGTGCGTTTGGACAAATGAATAATGACAGGTATTCACCATTGTGGCATCATACAGAATAATTTCACTACCCTAAACATTTTTTTCTCTGCCTATTCTTTTTTATTTTTAAAAAATGTAGCTCCCAGAATGTTTAAAATCACGTGTGTGGCTTACAGTTTTAGCTTGCATTATATTTCATTCCGTGTTGTCCTAGAGGGATTTTCAATCAAGAAAGAAAGATAGATAGGTAGATATTGCCGACGGCAAAAAAGATAAAGTGACGCTTATCACATCTCTAGGAAGGCGTGGTCTGCACTTAAAAGCAACAACAAAAATCACAATAGATTGATTTGATTGTATAAAAATACGAAAATCTGTTAAACAAGAAACATAATTAAGGTATAATTAAGTCAGCAGTTGCTGATGTGAATTTGGGGAAAATACAATGTACAAAAATTGATCTTTATAAAGACTGCATGCACATTGGCAAGAAAAATAGTAAGACGCCAAGAAATGGACAAAAGACTCAAAACACCAATTTGCAGAAGAGGAAATGCAAACAGGTGAGTAAATGCTCGACCTGCAGGTCACCAAAGAAATGTGTACAAACAGATGCCTTTTCCCTGCACCAAATCAGCAATAAAACAAAAGAGACAACATGTACACACACACACACACACACACACACACACACACCCTTTCTAAAGGTAGAAGTTGGCGAAACAGAAACATTCACACACTGCTGGCAGAACTGGAAACTGGTTCAGCTTTGCTAGAACACTGCTTGACAATATGCATTAGGATCTTTCAAAAGCTTACCACTCTGCCTAATAATAACCCTAACTGATGGAACGTATTTTCAGCTTCGAGCTGTTTGTTCACTGTTAATAGGGAAATTGTAAACGATTTTTCAGGAAACCACGGTGCTTAACGTAGTTGATGAAGAGTTTATAATGACATGGAAAAAAATACCACAAAATAATTTGGAAGTGATAGGACCACGTTGCATATGCTTTTGGAATGTAAAACAAAATCTACTCCTTGAGGAAGAGCCAGACAAGAAAAGAAATTTGTCCCAGCTTTCCCTAGTCTCTGAGGAGTTGGAAGTCGTGTTTTTAAAATGCCACAGGTAGCAAGTCACCTCCAAAGAGAGCCTTTATTTAACCAGCTCTTACAGGTGTCTTCTGTGGGCCAAGCCCTGTTCCTCAGGCTTTGTAAATATTAGCTCAGCTAATGGGAGCCACACAGGTAACTTTAGTGTTTTTGAAGTTTTATTTTTCGATTACAGTTGACATTCAATATTATTTGGTATTAGTTTCAGGTGTGCAGCATGGTGGTTAGACCATCATACATTTTACACAGTGCTCCCCCACCCTGATGTTTCCCGTGCCCACCTGGCCCGATGCATGGTTATTACACATTCTTGACTGTGTTCCCTGTGCTGGACTTTATTGATACTCCTTGACTATTTTGCAGCCACAAACTTCTACTTCTTAATCCCTTCACCTTTTAAACCTAGTTTCCCAAGCCCCTCCTCTCTGCCAACTCCCAATCTGTTCTCTGTATCTGTGAGTCTCTTTCAATTTGTTCCTTTTTTAAAAAATATTTCATTTATTTATTTTTTTAGAGGGGGGAAGAGAGGGAGGGAGAGAGAGAAAGAGAAAGAGAGAGAGAAACATCAATGTGCGGTTGCTGGGGGTCATGGCCTGCAACCCAGGCATGTACCCTGACTGGGAATCGAACCTGCGACACTTTGGTTCACAGCCCGCGCTCAATCCACTGAGCTACGCCAGCCAGGGCCTCAATTTTGTTCCTTTTCATACAGGTAACTTTAAATTATCTGGCACCTACATTTACATTTCTCATTTTAATAATATACTTTATTTAAAATAATGTATCCAAAATATTATCATTTCAACATGTAATCCATATGACTGACAAATTAGATAAATTAATGATCTCATTAATAACGAGAGAGCTTGCTTTTTTTGGTGCCAAGTCTTTGAACTCCAGCATGCAGTTAACATAATAGCACATTTCAATTCCCACTAGCTGCATTTCAAAAACTCAAATAGCCACATGTGGTATCATGGATTGGATCGTGTCCCTTCAAAATAAAAGTCATATGTTAAAGCCCTAATTCCCAGCACCTAAGAGTGTGACCTTACTTGAAAACAGGGCCGCTGCAGATGTAATTAGTTAAGAGGAGGTCAGAGTGGAGTAAGATTGTCCCCTAATCCAATATGACTGGTGTTCGTGTAAAAAGGGGGAATTTGGACACAGGCATGTACACTGAGAAAACTCTATGTAGACAGAGGCAGAGACTGGGGTGAAGCCAAGGAAGCCGAAGATTGCCAGCAAACAATCAGAAGCCAGGGGAGGGGCATGGAATGCACTCCTCCTCACAGCTTTTGGAGGGAGCCAAGCCCGTCAACACCTTGATCTTGGACTTCTAGCCTCCAATGATGCATTTTATTGTTAAAGCCACTCCATCGGGGACTTGTTGGGCAGTGCAGTGTTAGCTCATTTAATCCTCCAGACACCTTCAGAGGTAAGCACTATCATTATCCCTGTTAATGGCGCAGGAAACGGAAGTTCAGGAGCCTCCTGAGGGCTCACATCCTGTAAGCAGCAAAGCCAGGAATGGGGCACAGGCAGGCTGGCGCAGGGCCACATGCTTGCCAGGCCACACCCTTCTGTCTGCTCAGCTCTGTGCTTCCAGGTCCCCCCCAAGTCCTGTCTTTCCAACCCAGGGCAGATGTTCTCCCCTGAGCCTGTATTAAGCCGCCATCTCCTCAGTGTCAGCTGTTGCTGGGCTGGAGGACTTGGGCTCTAACCCTCTGGGTAGCAGTGGTTTGGGGGCCAGACGACTCCCCTCTTCCATGGTGTGCCCCTCTCCTCCCACCTTCCAAAAGACGACTCATTGCTTTGGTGCCTCCTGACCCATGTGCTGAGAAGCTGGACTATGATGATGGTGCTGTCTGGTATGTAACACCGAGTTCACACCTCCCACCCACTCACTGCAGTACCTCTCCCTCCCACCTTCCAGATGCTCTGAAAACTCCTGGCATCTCTCAGTGCCAACAGGTAACTCAAGCCTGTAACCTGCCAACAGAAGGAAACTCTGTTGGGTGAATGACATCTCCGTTTCTGGGGCACCATCAGGCTTTACAGGTGTCCCTGCCTGCTCCGTCCCTCATCATGGCTAAATTAGTCCACCCTGTGGACATCCAGGCTGGACAGATGCTATTGGATGCTCCACCAAATGTATAGGACTGGGCTCGGGTTACCCTTGGGGGAAGCATTGGGAGGGAGCGTCTGCCTGACACAGATGCCCGAGGCACAGATGCCCGTGCCTGCTTAGGAGGTGGAGATCAGGCACTAGGGCAGCTGGGGGAAGGTTTCCTTGACTC